ATAGGTGAATACAGATAATTGACTGTTTAACATCAATGTTCATTAATCCGAAGTCCCAAACTCAATTAGGGTTTTTAGAAAATACGTTTAAGAAACAAGGTAGTAGATTCATGTTGACATTAAGGATTTGTCAGAGAAGTTTAAAATCCTAACCACTGTTTCCACAAAGGTTAAGCCAATAATTCTGTAGGGCGTTGTGATCTATAATGTCATGTGAAATTTACATGAGCTGATTTATAAAGACCTGACTTTTTAAAATTATAGTACAGTATAAATCAAACAATGAAGTTCTAGCCCCATTTTTATGCTTTTGAGCACCTAAACATTAGCCGAGGTCATAATGCTGATTGATCCATTAGACAAGCATAAAGAATGTGAGTAGTTTGAGTCATTTTAGCCCTTTTAGAGAATAAAAAGAACTCCAAGAACTAATACCATATTTGCATTTCATATTTATGCGGGATAAAATTAGGAAAAAAACATGAAGCCACATTTTAAACTCTAAATTCACAAACAATTTATTAGACTTTTTCTTTATTAGGGGCATTAATAAATTTGGATTAAAATTTTAATTATTGTTATTTAATTTATGAAGTAATTTTATAATACTTTAATTCTTAGTGAAATGTCTTGAGGCTTTTAATTTGTAACCATATCTTTAAGATTTCTCTCTTTACCGAAGAAAATATTTTTGATTGCTTGTTTTTCTTTGGAGCTCTGGTAGCATAGTGCTTAAGGCATTTGACAGCTAACCAGAAGACTGGTGGTTCAAACCCACCAGCCACTCCTCGAAAAGAAGGTTGGGCAATCTCCTTCTGTAAAGATACTCCCTTGGAAACCCAAGGAGGGGTTGCTATGAGTTGGATACGACTCTACAGCAGTGGGTTGTTTTTTTGTTTTTTTTTTTTTGCTGGCCTGTTGTTAACTTGTGTATCTTTTCTTTATCATTTATTTAACTCTGTAGAGACACTAATGACATGAACCAAGTTAGAATTCCCTGGTTGTATAATTTGTATAATTTAAATTGGAGTAGGGAAATGCAATTTAAATTAATATTTTAATTTTTATTTTACATAGTTTATACTTGTGGGAACTGCTTTATAAATAACCAATTTGATAATTCATGGATTTTTCTGGAGGCACCTGTGTTAAGGATAAAATCATTTTAAGACTAGTTCATGTAACACTTAATTTCTTTAGTATGTTTAATACATTTGGGCACACTAAGTGTTTGTCACAGATTTTGGTTAACAAACAAGAAAAAGATAATCATTGAGCTTGCATTTAATTTTTCTTCCTAGCCTGGGGACTGTTTTAGTTCATGTGGTTAAGCATTTGGCTGCTAACCAAAAGGTTGGCAGTTTGAGTACACCAGCCTCTCTGTGGGGAGAAAGATGAGGCAATCTGCTCTTGTAAAGATTATAGCCTAGAAAACTCTATGGGGCAGTTCTACTTCTGTCCTCTAGGGTTGCTATGAGTTGAAAGCAATTCAACAGCAATGGGTTAGAGTTTGGGGGTGAGTGTTTTTGTTTGTTTGGTTGATTTTTTTTTTTTTTTCCAGGAAACAGCATATTTAAAGCATAAGGAATTTTGCCTTGATTTCTTAATTTGAGGGCATATTTTAAAGTCTACATTCAGAATTTAAGAATGCATACTGTTCACGTAAAGCCAATAAATTAGGAATTTTGTTAAGAAATTGTTTCCTGTTCTGCCAGTTCTGGCCATAGATTGTTGATCTCCTCTAGAGCTTTCTTTTACCTATGGTTTACCTCCTCCTACTCTCACAGCTAACATGCCCTGGTAGTGCAGTGGTTATGGGCTCAGCTGCTAACCAGAAGATCAACTGTTCAAAACCACCAGCCATACCACAGGATTCATAAAGATTACAGCCTTAGAAAACCTATGGGGGCAGTTCTGTTGTCATACAGGATTACTGTGAGTTGCAATTGGCTTGATGACAACAGGTCTGTTATTTATTTATTTATTTTTAACCCTAACAACTAATCTTCCTTTTTACAAAGAATAAAACCTCTCACTCTGCATCATATTAATATTCTAAGTTTATCAAAATGTCAGACTCAAGCATTTAACCTGGCAGGATAGAACTGCAATAGTTCTAATTCAGCTGCCACACACTTTTCACTTCACACATGTAGGACTCCACCCAGTGTAAGACTCCATGCTTAGTAAAACTCAGCAAGCAAGATGATAACGACACTGACACAAGACTAGTACATATAAAGTTCTCTTAATTTCTAGTGGCTCTGTACATATTTAACAAAAGGAATTCATGATCTTCTGAGCAGGTTGTTGTTGTTGTTGTGTGCCCTTGAGTCAATTCTGATTAATGTTGACTCCATGTGACAGAGTAGAACTCCCTCATAGCGTCCATCTTTGGCTAATAAGATGTGTATGTGTATTTTATTTCTAACTCTGAGGACCTGGGAACTTGATGGCTCCTAAGATACCTGAATGTGTTTTTCATCTAACTTGATGGACTCTTATTTCCTTTTGTGTTCTTAGGACCATACAGCTCTTGGTGGAGTAATGTTAGTGGAGGCAACATTACTTGCTCCATAGTCTCTGCTAATAATTCTACTCAGTCCTTTTCTTTCCATTTGTGTTAAGTTTTATGTTTCTTCATTTAGTAGTAGGTTTAGTTGGACACTTTAGATAATAATAGAATTCCACAGGACCATGGTAGCATAGTGGCTAAGACACTTGCCTGCTAACCAGACAGCTGGCGGTTCAAACCCACCAGCCACTCCTCGGAAGGAAGGTTGGGCAATCCTACTTCCGTAGTGATACTGCCTCGGAAACCCAAGGAGGGGTCGCTATGAGTCGGGGCCGACTCGACGGCACATAACAACAACGACAACATACAGCACTTACATGAACCCACACCAAACCCACTGCCCTTGAGTCAATTCTGACTCATAGTCACCCTTTAGGATGGAGTAGGAATGCCCCATAGGGTTTCCAAGGCTGTAAATCTTTATGGAAGCAGACGGCATCATCTTTCTCCGTAGCAGCATGAGTGTTTTTTACCACCCAACACCTTGTCTAATATGGGCTCCTCATTCAGATGAATCTGCTTCTGACAAATCCAACGTATTTTCATTGTATGGATGCCTGTTGATGGAAGTTCTTCACTGTCTGTCTTTCATAAACCCTACCATAATGCCACTCAAAAAAAAAAAAAAAAAAAACCAAAAACCATGATGCTTAGTTTATTTCTGAAAGCTGATGTGGACACCTAGACATTTATTAAACACCCTAAATGACAAATTCTTCCAGGTTTAAAAATTCCTGCCCAAATTCTTGATGGTTTTCTCAGCGTCACCTGATGATTTGCACCTGCAATTTATTTTAGCAGCTTTCTTTAGAGTTTCCAAACCATTCAACTTATTTTTCAAAGCAGTAGCCACATTCTGTACATTCTGATTTCATCTTTGTAGGTGATATTTCTTTAAGCTCTAGGTACTTAAATTCCAGCATAAACATATTTGGGATTCAGTCCAGTTGACTCATGGTCAGCATATGATCTGACTTGTGGGTGCAGAGGTGCACAGGGCAGTGGAGGATAGCCTGCTGGTCCTTTGTAGTCAGAAGGTCTGGAGAGCATTGTCTTCTTAGTCACATGGGTCCAGTCAGTCAAGAAGGTGCTCATTGTACTTTGGCCTGGAGTGGTGGGTGAGCTCATTGTAGAAGCTGTGTGTTTGAGTGAGTCCTTGAGAAGGAGCAGAGAGGGAGCATGAGAAGTATGTAGCAGATGATATGGATTCAAGTACAAAGATGTGGATTACATTCAGTCCTGGAAGACTTTATAGAAGGGAGCAAAAATGGAGGCAAGTCTTGGAAGTTCATTAGGGCAGACACTGAAAGTAGCAGTGGCCTCTGAGGAGGAAAGCAGTGTGGAAGGTAGGTAGTAAGATGGTGGCATGGGCTAACTAGGGAAATCATGGACTGCTGAGGAGCTGAGGGAAGGGAGGCAGGAGGTCTGGAAGATCAAGGGCTGGCCTTGCCACTCCTTGGCTCCTTGGCTTTGGGTCTTCACCTTTTGAGGCTTTAGGTCTTTATCTCTGGAGGAAGAGTCTGTGCTGACTTGACTTTAACCTTTAGACTTTCATGTCACAGTGGCCATTAATTTTGGTTGTTTTTGCTTTGCAGACAAAATGAACTTTCTACGCTTGGCTGACCTCCTCAACATCCAAGTGATCACCATAAATGTCAAAAGACATCCTCTGGAAGCCTGGATACCACAAGTGTACAAGTCTTCAGTGAGCCTCTTCATCCAAAAGATGGTTCAGCATAGGCAAGTTAGATGTGGCCAGTTTTCTCTCTGGTTGCTTTAAAAGCCAAGGAATTTGTTTGTGCCATTTGGACTAAATGTGGTCAAAGCTGTAAATCATCCCCTGCGCATTGCTTTTGGATTATCAGGAGATATCTGGGTATGCTGTGCTTGACCTTGCCCAAAGGACAGGTTTCTAGAGCTTGCTTCTGTGATGTTTCCTAAGATGTTTAAGGATAGACTAGCTCTCTGGGCCAGTGAAGCTGACCACTCTCTGAATTCCAGTGAGGCTTCAGTCCCATTAGAGTCAATATGAAGTTGAGATCTAATACGGCACTTTGAATCTGTGACATATATGGTAAGAACTCAGGAGTTGGAGTTACTGGAATGATTGTTAAGGAGGCCAATTAATGTTTTCTATCATGTCCACTTTTATAGTGATTTAAACATGTATACTTTTATTTTCAAGTACACAGTAGTGCCTAAGGCATTTTACTGCTAACCAGAAGGCTGGCAGTTCAAACCTATGAGCCACTCCTTGGAAGAAAGATTGGGTGATCTACTTCCATAGAGATACCACCTCAGAAACCCAAGGAAGGGTCACTATGAGTCAAAGCATCTCAATGGCAGTGAGTTTGGTTTTTGGTTTTGGTCTCTAGAAATAACCACTTATCCTGATTTGAGAACTTGCTTTTAAGATATGTAGCCTAGAATACCATTATCAGTGGTTTATCCTCAGCCACCATGGCCTCCCGCTTTCTTTAAATTGTATAAAAGCAAATGGTTCAGAAGACCTGGAAAGTAGAACCATCTGTGAAGTATCTCTTTTCCCCACCTATATTTTATATTTAACAAAGCTCTTTATGTAGAGGTTCCTTCCTGTTAATACTGGTGTTGAAACTACTTACGTGATTCATGTGGTGGGTGTTTTGTGTGTCCACATGCAACACCCAGTGCTAGGCCCTGTAGTCTGTATCTTCATAGAAAACATGGGGGCAGAAACACCTTCTCTCTTCCAGTAGCCATGCCTATAGTATACTTAGAATTCCCTGGAGCACAGATGAGAGCCACCAGAGCCAGCTGGCCTGCTCTGGAGCAGCAAAGTTGAAGAGAGCCAGCTATTATATTTTGTCATCCACATTCACCTGTAACTTGATGTCAGTCTTCTGGAAGTTCCCATGTGCAAAAGGGTTAAAGAGTTTTCAAAGCTTTCTTAGTGAAAAACAAACAAACAAACTCACTGCTGTCAAGTTGATTTGACTCATAGCAACCCTTCCTTGGGTTTCTGAGGCAGTATTTCTACGGAAGTAGACTGCCCAACTTTCCTTTTGAGGAGTGGCTGGTGGGTTTGAACTGCCAGCCTTTCAGTTAGCAGTCAGATGCCTTAGGCAATGTTAATTTTCCAGAGACAAACAGTAGATAAGCCACACTATTCTGTACTAAACCCCAAACCCTTTCCCTGTCCTCCACCACACAATTCTGCCTAAGCTTTCAACTGAGTACAGGTACTTTTCCCCTAAAAAGGAACCTGGTACAACCAGAGCTCTATCCTCCCTTCCTTCTATCTTCACTTTCTCCTTGGAGTGAAGGGCTTTGTCAGTGTTGGTAAGAATATTTCAGGGCCCTGTCTGTGCTGGAGCCTTCAGTAGATGAGGAGTGTTTGTGTGTGTGTGTGTGTGTGTGTGCGTGGATGAGTGGGTGGGTGATCCTATATTCACCATCGTTCTAAGAAGCAAAGTAGCCCCCAAAGGGTTCTGAGCAGGTTCATGATCCTTTCACTGAAATGTATGGTGACAGGATCTCTTTTCTCCCCTTACGCCAGGATTTTTGTCTGGATTTATGATGTCATCATTCTAATAAATGCCATATTCATTGCTCTGGATGAGAAAAACACCTTTGTCTCCTATGCAGAATGGCTTTTCCTTTCTCTATATATTATTGAGATTCTCCTGAAACTGTACACATATGAGCCCAGGGCCTACTTTGGAAAGAAGCAGTTCTGGAACTGGTAAGCATATGGGGAGGAGATCGTGGGGGAGGAGATGGGATTTGTGAGCTGAAGAGTTTTGTTGTAGTTCTCTAAGCTCCACCTCTCTAGATCTGAGGCATCTTGTAATGAAATCAGGAGGGTGGGGGTGGGAGACATCTGGTTTAGTAAAAACTGTTATTCATGATGTGAGTTTGAACTGACTAGCTAAAATTAGAATCACAAGTTATGGCATGTTGGATTTGAAAAGGATCTTAACACTTCATTTGCAATGAGACAACTCCTTGTATAGCTCCCTTGGCCTGTTCCCTGGGTTCACTGTCAGAAAACAGCCCATGTGGCTGGACATAGGACTGTTGGCAAGCTCCCCATGGGTCTTCTCTTCTCCAGGTTATATCCCTTAGGTCTAAAACCACTACCCACATGCCACAACCAGCCAGTGCTTAATTCTCAATATATGGCTTGTATCGAGTGCTACTGTGCATCAGGCACATGGGGACTCAGTTCTGTCTTAAGTGGTATACATCTTGTGGTGTGGAGGGGATTGGATCTCTGTAATAACTGTTCTAAGTGCCAGAAACTGCATTATAATGTATTCATGGTCTAAGGGAAACCTGTTAGTGTTGTCCATTGCTTTCTTATTCCTTGGGATTATTGTCAGAAGGAAACGTAACAACTTGATGAATTTTTTTTTTCTGTTAAAAAAAAGTTACAATGCATTTAATACAGTTAATACCAAGAAACATTATACTGTGTATTCTAAAATTGTGTCTAAGTATTCATAAAAGTACTATATTTTTTGCATATAATGTGCCCACATAAATAACACATACATGCATATAACATGCATAGCATGCATAGGAAACAAGTGCATGAGAGAGTTGTACGGTTTTCAAAAACCATATAATGTGTGCATTATTTGTATAAAAATATGGTATAAAATTATTTTGGAAGACATTTGAAGTGATGTTAATTAGTTGATTCTTTACAAATTTCTTTGCGTGATTCATCAGATCAGCCTGTTTCTTGATATGTATTTGCTGTCCTCAAAATTATGTAAATAAGTTTTAAAATTTTAAATATATTATTATTGTACATAGATAGATAACAAATCATTTGCCTTTTCAATGTCCTTCTCGGGATAATTCTGTGACATTAGTTATGTTTATCATGTTGTTTTACCATTACCATTATCAATTTTTTTTGGCTGGATCATTGCTTTGCATAAGATACTAGATTGGAAGTTTTCTCAGAATTCATATCTGAGCTTAGCAGGTCTTTCCCTTGACTGGTAACTGACTTTACTTTTCCACTATTAGGTTTGATATGCTGATTATTATTGCAGCCCTGGTAGCTACTGTGGCCAATGCCACCATCAAGTCAGGTCAGTGCCACTGGCTCATGGCTTCATCTTCTCCCAGGAGCACACATTTAATCAGTAGTCTTTGTTGGCATTCACCATGCACTCCTGAGAAGTTTGGGATGGGGGCTGAAGTGTACAAGAGAATGATTAAAAATTCTCTATGTTCTTGGAAGGGGGTTTCATCTCCCCTAAAAGTCATGAAGTCATGGTAGCCTTGTTTGTATTTAGATGTATTTTACAGATTTTGCTTGTAGATGTCCGTCAGACAAAATACTCACCAGACCATCTCCTCTGTAGAACTGGCCCTTGGCTTCAGGTCTGATTTCCATACCTTTGACCCACTTCCCACCTCAGCCCCCATCCAGTTACCAGCATAGCAACTGTGGCCTCTGCCTGATTTCACTGAATCCGGGAGCTAGTGGAGTCCTCTGCATTGTCCCCTGCCTGCTGCCTTTTTTCTACTTTCCTCATAGCATCACCCCCATGCAAATGCCTTTCTGCAGATGGCAGATGGGATTGTTTAGGATAGTGCAGTTTCTTACCATGTGAAATGAATGATGGGAAAGGAAAGGCTTGTGGGAGCATGTTCTTCTGTAGAACTGGATCCACATTCACTTCTTGATGCTGATCTGAAGTCTATACGCACAAATAGCCCAGTGTAGCACACTCCTCGCTCCTTGACTCTGGGACTGAGGTGAAGGAGGGGGTGGAAGGAATGTTCAGTTGCACTTGGCTTTGATTTGCTAATGATTCGAGGCAGCTCTTGTTTCCTTATTGCTCAGAGTCATTATCCTGTTTTTAAAGTGACACCCAGTTGTTCCACAGTACCAACAGAGTTTCAGACCTCATTGAAAAGTGACAAACCAGATACTTCAGAAAATGGATTGTTCAATGATTATATTCTATTTCAGCAAGACAATACAACAGTCAGCAGATGTTGGATATTGTCTTGGTATTGAGAATACTCCGGCTCTTAAGGGTCATCATCAGCATTCAGAGGTAGGGATGAAGCCATCTGAAATTCCTGTCCTTGTGTGCCACCCCACATTGGGGGCCTTGTAGAAGGTATTCCTATCTTGACTATCTCACTCACTGCCGTTGAGTCAGATCTGACTCGTAGCAACCCCTCCTTGGGTTTCTGAGGCAGTATTTCTATGGAAGTAGATTACCCAGTCTTCCTTCCAAGGAGTGGCTGGTGGGTTTGAACCACAAGCCTTCTGGTTAACAGTCAAATGCCTTAGGCACTATGCCACCCGAGCTTGACTATAGAAACAGCCAATTATGAGCCTACAGTGTGACTATATAGAGGAACTGGGGTTCTGCGGGAGAATCAGGAGAGGGAGGAGGAAGTCTTTGAAGATGTGTGAAGAGCATGCAAATAGCAGCTCCCTGATAACAAGGATTTTGTCATTGGTCACTTTTATCTTTGTGTCCCTGGCTCTCTTGTGCCTGCAAGTAGGGTTCTACTGAATAATATGGGTTGTGGTGGCAGCTAATGTTACTGAAAACTAACCAAATGAGCATTCTGAATCTGCCAACAACCCTTGACATGGAGAATTGTATTATCCCTAGTTTACAGATGATGACAGTGAGACTCAGAGAGGTTGAGGAACTTTCCTAATGGTGGACAGTTAGAAAAAGATGCAAAACCAGGACTCTGACCCTAAAACCTAGATAAATGCCACTGCTAGATTCCTTTCCACGACTGCATAGGAGATTTCTCCATCAGATTCCTCCATCACAGTGGCCTGTTTCCAGAGAAAGTGTTTACTTGTCATCATAGGCATCCAGGACACCCTTAAAACAGACTTGATTTTGATGGAGAGAAGGTAGGGGAGAAAAATAGATGAAACTAAATAGTTTTTCAGCCTCCATACTCATTTATGTCTGTGCGAAACAAAGAGAAAAGGAAACAAAAATCCAAATCTGTGGCCATCTGGTCAATCCTGACTCATGGTTACCCTCTGTGTGCAGAGTAGAACTGTACTCTGTAGGGCTGTCAAGGCTGTGACCTTTTAGAAACAGATTGCCAGACTTTTCTTCCAAGGCACCTCTGGGAGTGTTCAAACTGCCAGCCTTTTGGTTAGTAGTTGAACTTTTAACCATTTATTCCACCCAGGGTTTGCAATTACCTCTCTTACATTTTCCATGACTGCCTTGCTTTGATCCAGGATAAATTACAAGTTAACTCACTCCCCAGCTTGGTAGATGGAACGATTCCAACAACATTGTAAAGACAAATTACTTAAGCATTTAAACACAAACATGGGACACTCCTCGATGAGATGGCTTAATACGGTGGCTGTAACAATGGGCTCAAGCATAGCAGGGATTCTGAGGATGGCGCAGGACTGGGCAGTGTTTCACTCTGTTTTGCGAAGGACCGCTGTGAGTCAGAATTGACTCGATGGCACCTAACAACAACATAGGACTGGGCAGAGGGGATTAAACTAAAACCTGAGAGTTTGGTTCCAGTTTCATTTTATATCTTCCCCTTTGCTTTGCCTTGGAAACCTTGTTTTATCCTAGATTCCGGGTTATAGTGACGACCTTAATTAACATTGGCCCTACAATGCTGACGTTTGGTGGACTTGTTTTGGTAAGTGGCTGCTCACGCTGCTATTCTATGTGAAATAAGTTTATTCTTCACAACTCTTAGTAAGCCTTATTTTAAGTAATGGAAAGTTAAGAGTAAGTAAATGAGATCCAAATGATTTCCAGCAGCTCTTTTAATAAAATACCAAGTTTCCTGGAAACATTGGACATATACTAGTTAAGGTACACTGGCTGCTATAATAAACACAAAAATTCATGGAATGACTCAGTAGAAATTCCTTTCTTACTAGTACAGTGGCCCAGGTGTGTGTCTCCAGCTGACAGATGGCTCTCAGGGATTCAGGCTCTTTCCATCTGCTGGCTTTGCCCCACAGGGACTCAGAGACTTCTTCATGCTGCTCATGGATTTCTCCTGCTTCTTACCGGTTCCCACCCCACTTGTATTCCAGTGCAGTGTGAGAACACAACCACACTGGCTGCAAGGGGTTGGGTACACAAACATTGGTAGCCACTCTGCAAGAGGATATTATTATTATTATTATTATTATTATTAGCTCAATTATTACAGAAGAATAAAAAGTAGACTGCAAGTCATCCATTCTGTCCCCCATATCCCTCTTTCCCAGAGACAATCATTAAAGAGTTCTTGTTACTCCTCCAAAATATTTCAGTGTATACAAGTATATCACATCCAGGCATATGTGTATCTAGTTTATTATTTACCTAAGTGGGATAATTCATACAAAGTGTTGTTTGACAGCTTTATTAACATCTCTATCATCTGTTAGGGGAGGACATACACATCTATGTAATCTCTGCCATGATTGCAAAGTGTCCTACTGATGCCATAGCATGCCTAATCCACACTTCCACTAACAGATTCCTGGGTGGGTTCACATTTGCCATTATAAATAATGTACATTTATCATGATGGCCCGTTCTTGATATGTATCTTTGTGTGCTTATGTCAGTGCTTCTGTTTGATAGATTTCTAGAAGTAGAACTAAGTCAAAAGGTACATTTGTGTTTAAATTCTGGGTGTTGTTACCTGCTGTTGAGTCAACCCTGTGCACATGGGGATCAGAGTGTTATCATTGGATGTTTTCATGGACTGATTTTCAGAAGAAGATCACCAGGCCTTTCTTCCTAGTCTTAGTCTGGGAGCTCTGCTGCATACTGTTCAGCATCACAGCAACACACAAGGATCCCCTGGCAGACGGGTAGTGGTTATGCATGAGGTGCATTGGCCAAGAATCCAAACTGGGTCTCCTGCATGGAAGGCAAGAATTCTACAATGGTATTGCTGAGTCTCACGGTTGTTTAAGCACTCAGCTGTTAACTAAAAGATTGGCAGTTCAAGTCCACAGAATGAAGGCCAGGTGTTCTACTTCTGAAAAATCGGCCATTGAGAACCAGATGGAGCAGAGTTCTACTCTGACACACGTGGGATTGCTGTGATTAGAATCAACTCGGCAACTGGAAAATGTGGGTAGATGGTGCCAAATTGCCTTCCAAAAGACATCCTCCCATATAGATTCCAACAGCAGTGTACGACACCATCTGTTTTTTCTACATCCCTCACAACTGGGTTTTATTAAACATTTCCATTCCCCCTCCTCCACCTGATTGATGGGAAGTGGCATTTGTTGTTGTTTTGACAGCATTCCTTAGTTATTTGTGGGACTGAGCATCTTTCCAAGTTCTTTTGGCCACTTACACTTACTTTTTGGTATACAGTCTATTCGTATCCTTGGTCCATTCTTCTGCTCATTTTATCTTTTATATGATTTTTAGGAGTACTTTGCCTAATAAGGAAATAGGCCTTTGTTAAGTTGTATTATAGGGATGGAGCAGGACCAGGCATAAGGTTGCCATGAGCTCCATGGCAACTAACAGCAACAAGTTGTATGAAGAGCAGTTATTTTTCCTTGTCTTTTACTTGTTTATTTCTGACATAAAGGCTTGTTTTATTTTGCTTGACTATATAAAAATTTTAAATTTTATAATTTCTAGGTTTTATGTCATACTTAGTTAAGGAGCTCTGGTAGCATAGTGCCTAAGGCACTTGACTGCTGACCTACCAACCACTCCTCGGAAGGAAGGTTGGGCAATCTACTTCTGTAGTGATAGTGATACTGCCTCGGCAACCCAAGGAGCGGTTGCTATGAGTCGGGTCTGACTCGACAGCACATAACAACAACAACTACTAGTTAAGGCCAGTTTCAACCCATTTTTTTTTTCTAGTTCACATATGATTTTATTTTTTACATTTAAACCGTTGGTACCTTTTGAATTTATTTTGATACAAGGAACAAAGTTGGTTCAAACCAACCAGCCACTCCTTGGAAGGAAGATTGGGCGATCTACTTCCATAGAGATACCACCTCAGAAACCCAAGGAGGGGCCGCTGTGAGTCAGATCCAACTCAGCAGCAGTGAATTTGGTTTTGGTTTTTGGTAAGGAACAAAGTAAAGATCCAGCCTTACTTTTTTCCCCTAGAGCACTAGCTTTTTGTTTGTTTAATGGAGTGTTTAACCCACTGACTTGCTAGCATCTATTTCCCTGCCCCCCCCAATTGGTTAATGTTGCTAGCAACTATTGTTTTTTGACTTTGTGAATAGAGTCCATGGGGGAGTCAGTGTATGGTCCAGCTGGCTGGGCCCTCTGTCCTTCCAGGGGCAGCTCAAGTTTCTGTGGCAGACTGGCTGAGGGACTAACTTGTTTGGACCCTCTTCCTGAAGGCTACTTTGACCTCTTGGTTAAAAAAGGGGAACCTTTGGTTCTTTGGTGAAGGGAAACATGTAAACCCTTTCTGCTGGCACAAGTGCAGACCAGTGCCCTCAGGTACAGAGTGTTCTTGGTTCTTCTGCTTGCTCCTTGTCCCTTGATTCTGCAGCTTTGTGTGACCACTGACAACTGGGTGCCCCCCATCCTAGGTGGTCTACTATACGTTTGCTATCATTGGGATGGAAATATTCCATGGCAAAGTCCAATTCTTTGACCCAAATTTCACCACTCCTGATGCTCTGGTGTGTGGGAACCCAGCTTTGAAAGATACAGCCTTTGCCCGAGACAGATACTGCAAAAACAATTTCAATGACCTCGCCTCTTCATTCATCGTGCTGATGGAGCTCACGGTGGTTAACCAGTGGCATGATATCCTTTCTGAGGCAGTAAGTTTCACAAAGAAGCTGTCTTCCCTATGGAGAAGGGGCACGGGAACACTAAAAGTTACTTCAGGGAGGAGAATTAAATTAGGATGTCTTTGAGCTTGGGTATACCTCGTTTCACAAAGGTTTGGTTCCTTAGCTTTGTACTCATTGCAGGTGGTTTTGCCCTGGTGACTCATCAGGCAGCAAAGCTGTACTTCATCATGTTCCACATCGTGGTCGTCATCCTCATCGTTAAGTGAGTTTACCCCTGCCATGTTGGAAATTTTAAATCTCCATTTTCAGAACTTGCAACTGCTTACACTTCCCTCCTAGCACGTCTCTTATTACACTCTGTATAGGCTCTGGGTATCTCCTTTAGTAGATGCTATGCCTCTGGAGGGGAAGGGTCATACTTTTGTTCACATTTGTGTTTCTTATAGTGTCTACCAGCATCTTGCACAGTAACATATAGTATACATCTCATAGTCTCACAAATGGGAAGGAACCTGACGTCTGGATAAGTTTCCCTCCCCTTCTTCACAAGAGATTAAATCAACTCTAAAACATCCCTGCTGACTTGCCATCTCTTTAGGCTCTGCCTAAATTTGTCCAGCTCCTGGGACTCATTAGAACTGAAGAGAGTCCGTTCCCATGTTGTCTGTCAGATAGAATGGAAATACATCTCCTGGTACATTCTCTTCATTGGTTTCAGTTCTTTCCTGACCTTTTATTCATGGGAGAATTCAGTACATATTTAAAAACTGCTACGATACCTCACTCCTCAAAATACCTCTTTCCAACTGGGTAATCTTTGCCTCTACTTCCCTGGTTCCTCGTGTAATCTGACTTTGTGTTCTCTGCTGTCACTGTAATTCTCCCCCTAGATGTTTTCTTATAATCAGTGCCTATCTCAGAGCTGGGGCCTGACATTCTTGGGCTGACTAGGCAGCACGAAGATCCCAGCACTTGCTTGTCATGTTAGGGCTACTTTGGCCACCAACACCTTGCTGACTTTAGTTCAAGATGCCTTGGGGAATGTCCTAGCAGAGGGATGGGGGAAGAAGAAATCCTGTGGGTGGCTCTAGTCAGGCTTGCATATTCCACACAGTCTGAATGGAATATGTAGTGGGAAGCGAGCAATGCCTCCTTCAGGTGCTCGTAAATTGGTTACCAGAGTGCTCGAGTCCCTGGATGGTACAAATGGTTAGTGCACTTGGCTGTTAACTGAAAGGTTGGAGGTTTGATTCCACCCAGAGGCACCTTGGAAGAAAGGCCTGGTGGACTACTTCTAAAAAACCAGCCACTGAAAACCCTATGAAGCACAGTTCTGCTTTGTTACTTATGGGGTCACCGCAATTCAGAATCGACTTGACACCAAATGGGTAGACCGAGGCAATATAAAAATGCTGCAGAGACATTTTTACTCCTCTCCTCTAAAAAGCATGTGAGGACTCTGATAGCTCTGGGTTAAAATGATCATTCTTTTAAGTCAGCAACAGTGAAGGGTCTGAGGTTTGACCCTCTTTGCAAGCTAACATGATAGCCTGCCATACATATATACTGACGGATAACACAAGAGCTTTGGGTCAGAGACAAAGTCAGTTTATTACTCATGACAGAAGCAGCAGCTTTTGTGTCAGCTCCCTGAACATCAGTCTCCACAGGACAATGTGATAAGCCCCAGATAAAGTAGAGTGTATTGCAGGAAAAAAACTCTGAAATTAGGAAATTCTGGCTTTATATAGGACTGCTGGTAACCTGCCTATCTTCCCTTCCAGAGAGAGAGAGAGAGAGAGAGACCTTATGTTTAGAATATAAGCACATCTTCTCTGGGGAAGGGAAGGACCCTGGACTATCTCTAAGCATCTCTAACCTTTACTATCCTGGAATATCTTTTTATACAAACATCCCTAAATTAACTGTAAATGCTTTTGCTTACAGGACTGACATGGAAACATGAAATAGTCATGGGAATTGTCTCCCAACAATTATTTGGCCTCAAATTATTTGGCCTGAAACTATTTTCTTCTTAATAGTCATTGTTCAAATAGGATATACAGAAAGGATGATTTTCCAAATAAGCAAAAGTTGAGAGCAATTTTTTTAGTATCTACAGGTTTTAATTATTTATTATATTGCAAAGGGTGCACTTTACCACTTTCCTTAGAGATTTAAATACAATGCGAATGAACCATGAGATCTATTGTAAAACATCTACCAACTTAACCCAATTTCTGTATTTTCCTTTCCACCCTAACTCCTCTAAAGAGTTCTCTATATCGTTTCTTTCTAGTTTTACTCTCCCTATTCTGCTAACCAGAAGGCTGGCGGTTCAAACCCACCAGCCACTCCTCAGAAGGAAGGTTGGGCAATCCTACTTCTGTAGTGATACTGCCTCGGAAACCCAAGGAGGGGTTGCTATGAGTTGGGGCTGACTCAACAGCACATAACAACAGCAACAACATTTTTTCTTTAAAATTTATTTATTTTGTTGTTGTTGAGAATATACACAGCAAATCATATACAAATTCAACAGTTTCTACATGCACAATTTAGTGACATCGATTACATTTTTTGAGTTATATAACGAATATCACCCTCCTTTTCTGAGTTGTTCCTCCTTCATAAATATGAACTCACTGCCCCTAAGTTTCCTATCTAATCTTTCTAGTTGCTGTTGTCACTTTGATCCCATATAGGTAGTTCTTAAAAGAGCATAGTACGCAGTTCCAGTAAGATGGTGGACTAGGCAGAAAGACTGCCCAGACCCTCTTCAAAAAAGAAAAGGGGAACCAATTAACACAGACACAGAAGATAATCCTGGACCCCTGAGGCTTGAAGGGAAGGATATAGATGTGGACTACACCCCAACTAGTGGAAGAATTTGCATGAAAATACCAGAAAAGGAGACATATGGAGCTGGCAGTGATCCTGATGGCACAGACAGCTTGGAGATTGCCAAGTCTGAATTAACCTAAGAATTAATCTAAAAATCAGCCCTGCTAGCCAGGGACTGCACGGAGGACTGCTCTGGTGGCTGGGTAATAAAAGGTGAAGCAGCAGTGAAGAGGAAAGTGGACTGAGCTGTGGACCTTTTCCTGTCCAGAGGGCACAGTCATTCTTAATGTTTACAAGTGGCTTGACCATTTTGGATATTTAAAGAGACAGTGTTCTTGCAGATTCCAGGGGCTTAAGAACAGGTTCCACTTGCCAGTAACACAAAGGACACTCTGGACCTGGATGACTGAAAAGGTGCGGCATTCCCCTTGTTACTCTTATACCCCACACCTGCTTGGTGAACGAAGGTGCGGCGATCCCCCAATCCCACCCACCTTCTGGGCCTGCAGGAACTCCATCCCAGTCTGTGTGCTCAGATGGAGACTAAGTGCCCTGCCCTGTCCTCTCTTGATTTTTTTCTTTTTCTTTTTCTTATTTTTCACATTCTTTTTTCTGGTTTTTAGTTTGCTTGTATTTGTCTGTTTCAAAACTACTATTATTATTACTACTTTTGTCCTTTTTACTATTATTCTTTATTCATCCCCTCCCAGGTCCTAGTTTTCAGCTTTTTTTTTCTTTTCCCTGTTCCTGACAGAAATTTTTTTTTTAATTTAATTTTTTTCCCCTTTTTCTCTTGTGGTTAACCCTGTTCCTTTTATTTCTTTTG